TCCGATAGTGACTTCTACAAAGAATTAAAGCGTACATATGTTGAATAAAGTCAGAATAAGAAGAAATAATCGTATAGGTCCTGTTTTGTTTTCCATCTGAAATAATTTAAAAAATTTATTATGTTCGAAATACAACTGTGGACGCCAGCTGGCAGTGAAGTTTGAAAATGTTTGCTAATTCCTTTTCGCGCAAAACTATTTCTCTCTTTGGGAGAGAGTAAGATTACTTATTCTCTGAATTTTGTTACTGGCTAATTCTTACTGGCTTTTGCATAGCGAACAGAACTATGTATATGAGTTTAATACCACTGATAGGCTGGTGATAGCATTAGTTGCGATCCCATACGAGTCCGGACTAGTCAGAAATAGTCAGATTTTACTGGAAATCGATCCCGTACTCGGTTCTTTGACTATTGAGAGGACAAAAAAAAAGAATAAATATGGTCCTCTCTCTGTCAGAAGTTACCAGTTTTAGTCTGAAGATTTTTTGCTGGTCAATTCTGGTAAATGTGTCAAACGATCAGCTGTAGTATGTTTGGCAACCAAATTGTAAACAAAACAAAAGTGCACTCTGCGAATTTATGCTGAAAAGTATTTAATTACTTGTTTAAGTGGATTCTAATGAATTTGAAAGTATTTTTGGTTATTTACATGTATGAGCTGAGTGTGTTGACAGAAGTTAATTTTTTTTTGTAGAAAGCGATCCTGTACTATTCATTGTTACTCTCTCGCTCTGAGCGAATTTTCATTTTTTTTTTTTTTGCATTTTTACTAGTTTTAGTCCGAGGAATACGGGAAGGCACCTATTGCTGCGTACTGCGTACCTCTAGTTTATTTTCGAAAAAATAAAATAAAAAGGCTAACTTTATAAAAGCAAATTTTGAAAAATTTTATAAAATTACTACAGTACTTATGTTATTAAATTTTAACATTCACATATCAAATTGAAAATTAAATTAAGCATAAAATCCACTGATTTAGTTATTTTGTTGCAAAATTTTAGGTGTAATGAAATTTGCGGTAGTGCATACCTGCCGTTAAAACACTTACATTTGGTTTTGGCTGGAGGACATGTATAGTAAGGCGTATCACGAAAAAAATTGTAGGGTGTGTCAGTTTTATTTGAGTACTTATGTCACAAAAAATTTTGAGTGTAATTTTGCTATAACTTTCTTATTTGCTATCCGATTTTTATTTTTTTATTTTTATGTCACCGAGAAGGCCTCGCTCAGGATTATAATTGAATAAAGCCTAACCCTTTTAAGCAAGGCCGTGATCGCTTTAGGTTTATAGCATAAAAATAAAAATCTAGGGATAATAATTCCAAAATTAGGGAAGGTATAAATTAAAATGGGTTTGAAGGCCAAAATTGTTAATTGGCCAATTATATAGGTTTTTAGCGGGCGCCTAAACAAAATTGTTTTACACGCAAAATTTTCTCTCGACATAAGTGTTTAAATAAAACTGACACACGCTAAACTTTTTTCTTTCATATATCGTGATACGGCTTAATGTATATGTATATCATAACCAAATATTACTAAAATTGGGAGCATTAACTTTTTGTACCTGTTCGCTTCACGTGTAATGTCCCACAAGCTTAATTTTCGAATCTATTATCGTCTTATGCATAACTACTAATATACAAATGTAAAATGTTATTTATGTTTGTTATTTAATTTGATACAAAATTACTACTTTTTAGCGGGCGATCCCAACTCCTGGCGATTGGGCAGAATAGATGAGACTGATCACGAGACGGCTGTGTGAGTGTAGCATATATGGCGTAGGTGTAAATATCGTAATAACGAGCAAAAGCAGAACAGTACAACTGCCCGGCCAGCGCTGGAGGGGGGAGGTTAGCGATAGAGCGCCCACGAATTGTCACCGCGTGTTTGTACAGCGTGAATAGTTACATATTAGTATTACTGCTATTTTTCGAAAGCGAGTTGAAATTCTTTCTGAGTATTATTAGACATTAAGAAAATTATCTAATTCATTGAATTGTTAGTGTTGTTTTACACAAAAGGATAACAAAGTATTAGGTATAGTTGTAAACGCAAAAATCTAAATCTAAGACGAGTTAGCACACACATATTACATATTTATGTAAGTTTGTACATGTCGGATATTCATTAATTTTTATTAAAAATATATATAGCATATTATACGTGTAAATCCGATTTTAAAACGAAGGGGCGACATTAACCAGTATTGAATAAGTGAATAATATTTTTAGAATAATTTCGGATGTGTAGTTTTGTAGCCCATTGAATTAGAGTATAAAAGTGCAAGTTTTAAGTGGCTGTAAAATAATGTTGATTTTCTTTTTTTAACTTATGAACTGGAGGCCATTAGGATAACGCACCCCTTTGTTGATTTTTTTTTTTAATTTGTATAAATTTTAAAATTCCTTTATATAGTTTACTTATATGTTTTCAATAAAGTTAATAATAATAAAATCGGATTTACAAGTGCAATATGCTACATACATACTTGTAAGATATGTATGTGGGTTAAGAATACTTTTGATTGAATATAGCTAAACTCATGAGATATGCATTATTTGATGTACGTTTTCCCAGGACTTATATTTGCCATTTGTTACAAGCCAATTTGTGCACATGCGCGTAAATGACTTTAGATCCAGGCAGACTTAAGTCGACCAAATGGTCAATTCTCGTTCTGCGTTATTGTGTAGTGATAAAAATAACACTTTCAAACCGCATTTATTTCGGTGTGAATTTTTTATTCTTCACTTCACGATAACGCAGAACGGGAATTGGCACCCGGGAGTATTAAGTTTATTATTTTTTTTTTTACAATTGGCTAACAATTATGTGTCAGACAATTGCCGAGTCGAGAGCACCGAGCAGATCAGTTTGCTGTATTTTAATGCCGCTATTTTCCTTCGACCTGATGTATTTAAATATATAGTTTAATAAAACTAAATGACTTTGAATAAAGGATATAATGTGAATATACAAATATTTTTTTACATACATAACGTCACCTTAATTCACAAAGGCCCTAACCAAAATTTTTTAATTTTTTTTTTATTTTACAGAAGAAGCAATAAACATTATAAAATCAGTATTAATAAAATTATTGTTTAAAAAACTAAAAACTCGCTACGTAACTTCAGAATAGAAATCGCTGCATCTTTTAGGCACATCATTATTACATAGCTACATACCAAGTTAATAAAAGCGAGGTAAACAGGGCTCGGGCTTTTTAAAAAGTGGCATGTAACTCCGTATTTTAACACATCCTACAAAAATCTGCGAAAAACGCAGTTTCGAAAAATGTGTTGATTAGGGCCTTTGTGAATTAAGGTAAATATGTATGTACGTTTGTTCGACAGATTTTCTCCACAATAAATTTTTAATTAAAAACTACGAGCAAGTAAAAGTATGAAATATACTTTAAAAACTTTGATGTAACTCAACATACATACATACATACGTATGTATAAATAAGCGAAGAGATTAAATATTTCTTTTTTCGCCTGTACTGTTGTTCTTTTAAATGTGCCTTATTTCAAACTAATACAATTTTCTCAAAGTGCTGGTTTTTATTAAACATAATATTTTTTTTAACGCTGTAATATTTGTTTGCAATTTCTATTGTAACGATATGTAAATACTTATTTATTAAGTACCAGAGAATATCAAGATTCGCTACACAAATAAACTTATTTTTCCATTTGAGCATTATTGCATTTGGCATAGTAAAATTGGTAATGTTCTTGTTATAACAGCATAAAAATTCCCCAAAGCGTTGTTGGGTAAAATGCTGCAGTGAGACTAATAGAACCAATTGGGGACAAAAGTCTAAGGAACCTACTATCGAAGAACCGTTTAGGAGCTAAAGTCTCAGGAACTTTCTGACAGAGAACGAAATGGGAACAAATCTTTTCCGAAGTTCCATTAGTTTGATATATTTGAATAATAAAATTATTCAGAAAAGAACTGAAAGATATTTATGCAAATTAAGTCAACGAAAGACTTAAGACAAGAACTTTTTTTTTTTTCTTTTTTGCACAGAAAATGAAAAACTGTTCCATAAATGGACAGTTCAGCCTAATGATGAACGATCTATAAGTTGAAATGATCCCGCTTTTGTCTGGCTTAGAATAAACAGTTATGGTTCTCATTGATCCGATTTTTCATCTCATCGCGCAGATGCCCCACAGTGTTTTCGAATATAGAGGCAGGTGGAAAAAATTCGTGGTGACAGTTGACTTAAAAACAGGTTGGACTTAGAGAGGAAAGTAAAACACAGAATTGGAGGGCGTGGCAATTATCCCATCTTCACCAAATTTCATAATTCCTAATTCCTAAGAAAAATTAAAGCACATGTCAAGTTTCAGCGAAATCGTTGCAGGTTAACTATTTTTTCCACCAGGCACCATATAGTCGAAACACTTTTCCTTTTTACCGTTAAGTTCTCAAAACTTTTGTTCTCTGGCAGAACGCTCCCCAGACTTTTGTTCTTATTTTATCCTCCTTGAAAACGTTCTCGATACTTTCGTTTTCATTTTGTTCGCATTAAAACGTTCCCGAAAGTTTCGTTCTCACTCTGCTCTTCTTTGGAACGTTCGTGAGGTTCTTTTGTGGGTATTTTCTTGAAACTGCATTTGTTCCCATGCGGAACTAAACTAAAACCGGAACGCGTTCTCGGTCCCTGGTGAAAGTCTATAAACACGGTATGTATGCATGATGTAGTGAACAAAGGTGGCGCCCATCTGGGTATCGCTATTCCGCTCTCAGTGAATTTCACGGAATCGCTGTTTGTATGACGTCACGCTTGTGCAACTTCTTTACGTTTTCCTTGCAAAATTTGTATGTATGTACGTACATAGAAAAGAAAATTCCACAATATTAACTGAGTTGATAAATTTCTATTACTACATACTTACAAATTGAGACAAATGAGGATTAAATAAAAATCCATTAAATTTCAGATTCGATTTTTAATTAATTCCGTTTAAAATGTGAGCAAATTTGCAATTAGAATAGTACCATAGTGAAGCAACTTTTTTTTATTTTTTGTGGATAAGTCAAACATTTATTTTCTAGAAAGAATTGCTTTAAGTATAAATAATAATGTTTACATTGTAAAACGTACCAGCGTACATGTATACCTATGTATGTAGGTATACAGTCAAATGTATGTGCTAAACGAATCCTTAGTCCTTTATGTTATCTCCTAATAATTTATTACGTATTAAACCTATACTATTTAATTAACTATATACGTACATACGTTCATAGATAGTATCTTAAAACTGTTTTTATGAAAGATTATGCATGTGGTTTGCAACTACATAAAAAGCTAATAAATGAACTCTCAAATACGTTATATATGTATATTTATATATGATTCCGGAAACGAAATTGCAATTATGTCTGGAAAATGCGACCCGGCAATAATTAAAAACAAATTAATAGAACGATTTATAATTATGGTAATATTGTACGTCGGTTTTTTAAATTCTTTATTCAAATTCTTGTTTGTTTTTAGGAAAAAAAGTAAAAGTAAATAAAAAAAAAGTCACTGTTGTTTAATTTCAATCAAATCTTTAAAACCGTGTACCTAGCACTTTCCTTTGCAGACAAACATAAATGTACAAGCATTACATTTGTGATATGTAAAGACTTTTATAGAAATTAACTTATTATTCCAAATGGTATAAAATGTGTTCGCCGATTATTCGCAATAGTAGGTACTCTTTTTCCGTTGTCAGTGCCTTTAATAATATAGAGGACAACTACAAGGTCAAAAGCAATTGCAGTTACCACAATGATTAATATCTATAACCAAAAATATGAATAATTCAAATATTCAGGCGACATACACAGTATGTTTATAAAGCATGTCCATATGCATGTGTGTGAAGGACTTTGACCAAGAGGTAAAGTTTCTTTTTGCACAGTTACAGCAAAAGTTTCTCATTCGCATCCGTAATTTTTGTAATATCTAGGCAATATACCTAAACCTAAGTCCATGCTATTTTAATGCGTTTTGTCGCAATGCTCAAGAACTCATCGGTAAGAGGGTTTAGCTGTTTGTAATCACGCGACCTCTTTTCACAAGCCATAATCCTTCCAGACAACATAGTGCTGGTTTCACTGGATCTTTCACATGGCAATTGATTATGAACGGATTGATCCACATCCATAGGTAAGGCTGTATTTTCAAGGTAGTTTTGGCGATTCTGTTCGTTGCTAGATTGCTTGTGCGAGTCATTTGCTTCCGGACGATTTTTTGTGCTGCGATTAACTTCTCGGCGGGCCAGAGGTAAAGCAAACGATTTGTAGATGCGGACGAGTTCTTCGTTGGCCATTTCATTCATGTTGGGTATGTTTAGTTGACGCTACATAATCAAGGAAGAGTACATTTACATATATTCATCTATTTATAAAAATGTTTGCATTACCTCCACTAAAATATTTAGCAACTGTTCTCGCGTCATTAGCTCGGCAAATGTATAGTCCATGTTCGAGGAACATTTCAAAGCTACATAAAGCGTGTTACGCTTTGTTTTGTATTATTTATTAACAACAAAAGGCCCAATCTTTAAGAGTTGTTAGAATATGCACAAAACAAAGTATTATTTTTAACATATTTTATTTAAATAGAAATGTTAAAAAGATATCGATACATCTAAAATGTCGCAGTTTCGCTACATCAAAAGTTCGAGACTCGTAGTTGCTGCAGACACGAAAACCAAAATCAGAATCGCCGAGTTTACACGATTCGACATTTGACGATATGTCGATGTGGCAAGTGGACCGCTACTTTGGCTTATAGCGAATTGTAAACAATTTCAAGCTAACAAAAAACAATGTAGGATAAATTGGAATTCAGCTCATGTTCTATAACCAAATCGATAACAATGAGCTTATACAGATCAGCTCTTATTAAACAAACTACAACTTGCGTGGTGTAGAAATGCCACAATTATTCCTGCAGCGACATCAACTTCCAGTAGTGCATTGTTAAAAATTTTCAGTCACCCTGTACTTCCGGTAGTACATTGTCAAAGTATTTTGGTCACTCTGTTTTTCCGTTAGTTTTTCGCTTTTGTGTTGACATTCGCTTTTGTTTTGTTGTTGTCTGCTTTGTGCTGCATGCTTTACGAAAAAAATTGCAAATAAGCATTTTGCGATTTTTTCGTACAAATACGTCCAAAATGTTTAAAAAGTAAGTTTGGCCTTAATAAGACGTTGATTGAAATTAACAAAATGAAATATTCGGCATTATAGGTTTGAAGAAAAGGAAAGCGTTTCCTCTCTACAGCAGCTGAAGTCGTCTGTGCAGAAAGGCATCCGTGCGAGACTGTTAGAAACGTATCCATTTCTGGAAACACACATTGATTTAATACTCCCAAAAAAGGATTCATACCGCATCGCCAAATGGTAATTAAAAATTATTGATATAAAAATGAATTGTGTAGTTCTAGCTGTAAATATTATAGCCACGATCATATAGAGCTCTTAGTTACGGGGAACGGTGAAATAGCGTTCTTCCGCCACCGTGAAAGTCAATGGATGCCTACTTTACGACTATTACACAAGTTTCCATACTTTGTGACTATGCAACAAGTAGATAAGGGTGCAATAAGATTCGTATTGAGTGGTGCGAATATAATGTGTCCTGGCCTCACGTCACCTGGCGCACAGATGACGCCTGCCGATAAAGGAACTGTTGTAGCTATAATGGCGGAGGGTAAAGAGCACGCAATTGCTATTGGCATTACTACTTTGTCTACAGAGGATATGTAATTTAAAGCTCCTTGTATTTTATTCTTATTAATGCCTGGTATTTTTTCAGCTCAAAAGTCAATAAGGGAGTAGGAGTGGAAAACTGCCATTACCTTAATGATGGTCTGTGGAAAATGAAAGTTGTAAAGTAAAAAGTGGTTTATATTATCTGATATGATTAAATAGCTAATCGGATAAGTTAGCCTGAAATGTTTTGTATTAATAATATCGTATTGTTTCAGTCTAGTTTTTTTGATAACTGTCAACTTTAAATAAATTGATGTATGTACGTATATGTGTACGCATTCAAAATATCTGTCCACGAGGAATACAACATACATATATGGAATACAAGCTAACACCAAGTAAGGATTTAAAATCAAACAAGAATAAAGAAATATCTGGCAGCCTTCCCTCAGCGATACAGCGTATTTAATGTCTCCTACCGGATTGTATTTGAATGCTGAAAAATCGGCCTAAAATTTCGATGATACCTATGAACAATTTGCTTGCACCAGGCAGCATACTTTTTTGATGCATGCTTTTAGGAGCTTTAAAAATTGCGCAAATTTGACTTTTTGGTTCAGCAGCTGTTATCCAGCATTCGCTATCGGCAATTTTGATCGCTAAAAATCTCCAAAACAATAGCAGGCGCGCCAAACAACATGCAACACCTAGTAACATGCCCCTCATACTACCAGCTTTGGTTGATTACACATTGCATCTGTTACTTTTATGTTGCGTGCTTTTAGGCCCCATTGATTTTCATTTAGAGAATTTTTACGATGGAAATTTAGCGTGGCGATTGTCAGATTTCCACTGCAGAAACAGCATCATTGCAAAAAAATTTAATGGCTCGATGATGGATAGCAACAAAGCCTCAGTTAGGGCAACGCCAACCAAGATTTGAGTGTAGATAACTCGTGGAAACAGTTGAAAAAATAAATAAATTATCACAACCAAAATTTCCGCGGCAACCACAAAAATGCAGTTGCCAATATAGCAACTCAGTTGCAGTTTTCAGTCGTCAGTTGGCATCTGCAATATAATTCCGGCCACTGCCAACGCAACTGAAGTTCGGTTTCCATCCGTAATCGACCCATAAATGTGCATTAAAGTAGGGATAAAAAATATTTGATACATATAAACCTAAAATAAATGTCTTCAAAAAGTATGTTCCTTATGAATTAACGAAGATTATGTACTTTACTAGAACTCCTCCAAAACGCCTTGAATTACTGTGGATGGGGCAGATAACACTTCAATTTCAGTCGTCGGGCATAGACTCCATCGTCATCGACTGGGGGCTCGGGCTCGGGCTAGTCTTCTCCACAACTTTCGGTGCTGCTACTATTCAGCGTGTTTCCTCCATGCGTTCTGGACATCGGTTACTAGGTCGTCATGGTTGTTCTTACAGGACTTCGCCCCGGTCTTGGAGCCTTCCGTAAGTCGCCTAACTCTCTGGTAAAATTATAAGATAAAAAAGCTCTTCGCACTCACGTATTTCGGCCCCTCTCCTTATTACGGCGAATACGTCTCGCTTTAGTCTTCAGCTCCCAATACCGATCTCACATTTTTCGCGTTGAAGCCTATGACAGCGTTGCCCTGTAGGAGATATTTTTTTATCTGCAGCTTTGTGGCATTCCTCATCACATCAGCTGTTCTTTCGGGCTCGTTGAAATCCGATTACTTCTTCGGTATGTAATAAGTGGATAATGTGGTTCCACTGCTCCCATATGTCGGTTTATTGAAGAGTGCTCTCTGAGAGCAGGTGTGAAAGTCGGTTAGCGAATACATTGCGTTGCGACTGCAGCTTTTCGAGGTTAAGCTTTCTTTGCATTGTTGGACGAACAGTTTTAGCATATCTTGGCTGCAACATCATAGGTGTCCAAGTTGATATTTGGACCTCGGAGTGTAAGTACATCTAAAACACTGCTAGTGCGCCTTCCCCCTATCACAACTTGATCGATTTGATTTCTCGTTTTTGATCTGGAGACAGCCACGTAGCTTGATGGATCTTTTTATGCTTGAACCAAGTACTGCATACTACCATATTCCGGCCCCGTTGAAGTCGATCAGCCTCAGTACGTTATAGCACGTTTCATCGTGGAGGCTGAATTTTTCGACCGTGGTTCCAATGATCCCTTCCTTTCTCACCCTAGCATTGAAGTCGCCAAGCAGGATTTTTATATCGTGACGCGTCTGTGTTATCCAAGCGCTCATAAAAGAAATCCTTGGATGCTTCGTCCTTCATTTCCGTCGGAGCGTGGGCGCAAATGAGCAAGATTACGAAGAACCTCGCTTTTATGCGGATGGAATCAAAAGACAATACTCGGCGACGGCACAATTCCAACACCGAATTTTCGGTCCTTCACGTCGCAAGGCACGACGTATATCTTGCCTTGCCCCGTCTATTTCGTGGATGACAGTGATACCAGTTTTTGTCCTTACAGGACATCAACCAGCCGGGCAGAGGCACCTTCCCCATTAAGGGTCTGGACATTCCAGGTGAATTCCCTTAAATAGTAGCCCTTTAAACTTTTGCCGTAGTCGTCATCCCAAGCCCAGCGCTCAACCCATTGCTCCAAGAAGACAGACGCTCCCTTGCAGCCGCACCTACTGGTGAACAGACGCAGGATACTTCAATGAGCCCTTAAACCGAATAAGTCGCAGTGGCCTCACCGAAGCTCCCTCTTTTTCTCCCGTGAGCTAAGGCTCCATTCGGATTGGTTACTGCATCTCGCACATGGGTTACCCACGGTGCCCAGAGTGCGCGAACGAGGTCGCAAGAGTCAGACCCTGAACAGCGCCTTTACAACAGTATGCTTCACTATATAATACGCGAAATCAATTTGTATGTTGCCAGGCGGTACATACTTTGACTTATCTTTGTTAACGAATTTGTTACCAGTGCAGAGTAGATCTTTTAGATACTACAAAGCGACAAACATGCTCGAAAACATAGGGATAATTTTGCAATAGACCAAGGAAAGGAAAACCACATTAAGTTCCACACATACTATAAATGTGTACATATAGTCATGTCAAAAATAATAAGGACACAACAATTTGACAAGTTGTGCATATTTTTCTTTTATTTGTTTAAGGTTTATAATTTTTATTTTCAATACTTACAGCTCATTATCTAATGAAAACCATATAATTTGTAGAAAATTTGATCAAAATGTTACAACAACAAAAAACTGTTTAGAAAAATTCTAAAATTATAGTCCATTAATTCTAACTCAATAAAGTACAAATTTCAAGTGGCTAATGGCGATTGCGTTTCTACAAAAAAATTTTGCCTTCTCATCGGCTCTTAGTGTTTGTGCGTAGAGGGCAAAAAGAAGGTTGCATTTTTCGGTAGAAACGAAATCGGCATAAGAAATCGCGTTGAGGTTTGACAATTTTTTTGCTGACGGTTTCACGCATTTCTATACAAAGTATGTTCGACAAGTGTTTTTTGTATGGAAGAAAATAATAACACCATTCGTGAAAAAATCAAAAATTAACGCGAACTATCAGCCGCTTGAAACTTGCAACTTCTTGAGCTAGAATTTAATGAGTTCTTAATAAAAGGTTAGTGGTTATGTAAAGTTTTGTTCTTGTAAAATTTTGCAGAATTTTTCTAAATTTTTCACAAAGTTTAAAATTTGAACTTATATGGTTTTTGTTAGATAACGAGCTGTATTTTTATAAAAAAAAAAAGAATAAACAGTAAAGAAACAAAAGAAAAATAGTCAAAATTGATCAAAATGTACTATATGTAGATAAAACCACCTGTTGGAGTATGTATGTACGTATTGCGGGTCTTTGTAAACGAGCAACTGCTGGGTGCTTTATCATGTTACATGCGGAGGTAAATACATTAGTATGTATTTATGTATATACAATTTGT